CAAGAATTCTCTTTTTTAGCCTTTACGTGCCATATATCCCAATGTTTTAAATAGTTCCCATGGATCCATTTCATCCATAAAATTTCCTTGTTAACATGTATATACCATAGGCTCCTCAAAGCTGAAGACAGATTCCAAATAGATGCAGAGAAAACTCCCAAGCCACCATGTTTTTTCCGATAACAAACTTTATCCCATGAAACCAATGAGATTCTAAAAGAAGTATCAGACTTCCCCCATAAGAATTTCCTGCACAGCTCATCTATCTTCTGTGTGACTTTAACAGGAAGTACGAAATTGGATGTCCAGTAATTTTGAACACCTAATATCTCACTTTTGATCACTTGAAGCCTCCATGCGTATGATAGATTACTATGTCGAAGCCACTTCTGAAACTGACCTGGGATTTTATCCAATAATGGGTTACAATCAATGTATGTTAACCTCTTACAGATGAGTGGTACACCCAGATACTTGAATGGAAGAGTCCCTTCAGAAAACCCCAGCATATTTTTAATTGCTGCTTTGGTATTATCATTCACACCTCCAAAGTAAATTGAGCATTTGCTCAGATTAGCTTCCAGACCAGTAGTAACACTAAAATCCTTCACACAATGATATAGTTTTTGGATTGAATATAAGTCTCCCTTGGCGAAAAGCAGTAGATCATCCGCAAATATTAGGTGGGATATTTTGAGCTTACCACACATAGGGTGATATCTGAACAATTTATCTTCCTTTAAAAGCTCTAATTTCCTTGATAAGTATTTCATCCCCAAGATGAACAGATATGGTGAAAGGGGGTCTCCCTGCCTTAAGCCCCTCTTACCCTCAAAATAGCCATGAAGTGATCCATTAAGGGAAATAGAAAATCTAGGGGAAGAGATGCAAGCCAAAATCCATTTGACCATCACTCTAGGAAATCCCAGACCTTCAAGCAATTTCCTCAAAAAATTCCAGTTAATTGTATCGAAGGCCTTTCTAATATCAATATTCAACATAACTCTTGGTGAAATCCTCTTCCTACTATAGCTTTTAGCAAGCTCATGTGCTAAGGAGATGTTACTGGAAATTTGTCTACCTTTGACAAATGCACTTTGAGCTTCATTCACTATGCTCCCCATGATTGGTCTAATCCTGTTAGCTAGGATTTTTGATATGAATTTATAGATGCAGTTACAGCAGGAAATAGGCCTATAATCAGAGGGAGAAACTGGGCATTTTATCTTAGGTATAAGAGTGATAGAAGTAGAGTTTACCATTCCCAGCAATTTTCCATTTTTGAAGAATTCCTCAATAGCCAAAATCACCTCCTCTCCTATCACAGACCAGGCAGACTTATAGAAGGCAACTCCATACCCATCAGGACTTATAGAAGGCAACTCCATACCCATCAGGACCTGGTGCTTTGTTATCATCCATTGAAAATATTGCACTTTTTATTTCCTCTCTTTAAACAGGCTTGGAAAGCATGTCAGCTTGAGCTTCATTCAAACATAATTGGGGATTTAGTTGTTTCCCTTGCTTTCTGGTATTTTGTTTTTCTGAGGCAAAGGAACACGTTATATTGTACTGAGAGTGCCCAGGTATACAAGCTTGGAGGTTGTCTCTAATTTGGCAAACCTGGCAGTTTTGTGCAGGTTTCACTTGTTATTTATCAGCTGATTCTTGGTAAGATTTTGTGATATAGGAGAGAGTGCTAGCTCAAGTGTAACTACACAGGTATGCCTTAGGTAATGATGTGTCTCCTGATTTTGGATTGATGAGGTTCTTAGTTACTGACCCAAAAAAAAAAAAAGCTGCCCTACGTACTGGGAAACACAGTAACTAATCAAGAAACGTTCAAGCACAGGTTTTTCACTATTTATATTCTGTTTTCCTTCTTAGCTCTCTAATACTCATTTGTATTACGGTTTTTCACTATTTATAGGTTAAGACGGGTCATAGGTATTAACGGAAATTGATGACCCAAAATTCAGCCAGCACTGTTCATATTTTTGTTCAGCTATTGCGCTCTTCGTTGCGCCCAAGTTGCAGCGTTTTTCAGCTGTGACAGGATGTGGAACAGGGATTGTAGGGAAGGGTATGGTATTGAGTGAGGGAGGATATGGAGACAAATTGAATGAGGGAGAAGGTAATGGTGGTTGAGATATTACATGGGTCTGTATTGAAATCATTTTCTTTATGGATCGTAAAATGGAGAGGAAAAGGGAGAGAACGCAGAAACCGTGGAGGAAGAGGAGGTTGCAGAGATCAAAGGTGTGCTCACTTCGAAGAATAAATGAAACACCAGACCAGACCTTACAGCCGCTAGGGGGTCGAAGGCTGCAGCCATTGCTGGATCCAACCCCGTTTTTGGTTTCTGCTGAAGCCGCAAGTGATGATGACTTAGACAACTAAAAACTATTAACAAGGTTGTGGTATTGAGATTATTCGATTATTTTATACATATTTATTAGCTTTCAATGCTTCTAACAATTCATTCTTTGCCCCTCAATAAACACCTGGCTTCTTCCAATGGTTTTGACAATTATGTTTTTGTTTCAAGTTTATCAAATATGAGAAATTAAAAGCACTTGCCTTGAATACGATGATAGATGATTCGTTAAGTTGAGAATGATGGACACTAAAAAATATTTTATTCTTTTACTACATTATTATACTCTTTTACAACATTGTACTGTTCTCTTGCTCTCTCTCACTCTCTTCATTTCTTTCACTCCTTTTTTATTCTTGCTCTTTGGCTTGCTGTTACTAGGATGCATGACAAAGTGAAGTTAGGGATTTATTTATAAGCCTAAGTTTGCGGTAGGTAAATACTATTGGTAGGTAGGTGAACACTGTTATACAAATCACAATCACCTACAAAGGTCGGTGATGATTTCGATCACTCCCCCTTAGCACCAACTTCTCTATCAATGAGTTTAATAATTCTAACTTCTTTTTTTAGTGCTTCGATTTCTTCTTTCACTGCTTGTCTTCATTTATCATTCCCATATGATTTCTTGAAAGTAGATTACTCATTCATGTCTTCTGTCATGACAACATTAGCGTACTTTCGATTTAATTTCCTCAATCTGGTTGATCTTCGAACTTGTCATGTTTGTTCGTCATCGATATCTTCTATTTGGCTCGGTCGTTCATCTTCTTGTGTTGTCTGAACACGGGTCTTCCATGAATTCTTCTCCTTCGAGGATGTGGGAGAGCTTGGTTCTTTCTTCTTTGACTGTTGTGATTCATCTTGATTTGGTTCCCCCAGCTTCTCTTGTAGTTGATCCTCTAGATCATTGGAATCCGGGAGTACAACGTCTTTTGAAGTTCACCAAGATGAGGCTTCATCAAATACAATATTTCTTGATGTATAGTGTCGTCCGGTTGTGGGATCGATCACAACATCTCCAGGCTTTTCTTTTATTGTCATACGCCACAAAAATGCACCTCACGGCCTTTTTATTGGACTTGTTGTGTAAGCGGTTAGGCACAAAGACACAACACAAACAACCCAAAACTTTGAGATGACTTACTGTTGGGTTGATATTTTGTAGCTTCTGGAAGGGTGACATGAACTCTAATTTTGATTGTGGTTGCTGATTGATCACGAGCACTGTAATTTTCATACTCTCTGCCCAAAAATGCCCTGACACGTTCTTAGCATGAAGCATGCTTCGACATATCTCTACAAGATGATGATTCTTTCTTTCAGCAAGGCCATTTTGCTATGAAATATTTGGGCACGTTAACTATTACTGAATCTTGTATTGCTTTAGGTAGCCATAGATCTCCTTTGGTGTATATTCTCCCCCATTCTTTGTGCGTATTCAACAAATCTTCTTGCCGAGTTCTCACTTGACTTCTTGGAATTGCTTGAATTTGGAGAGTGCATCAGATTTTTTCCTTCAGGAAATAAACCAAAACACACCTCGAGTAATCATCGATGAAACTGATTATGTACTGCATGCTACTAATCAATTCCTGCTTCACTTGGTCGAATTCATCTAAGTACATAAGCACCAAATGTCCCTTTGCTCTGAATTGTGACTCTTGGTACAATAGTTGATGTACTTTACTGTATTGATAACCTTCGCAAATGGTCCTTCCTCAAATCTCCAAGTGTGGAAATCCTTCAACATTGATTTCTCCACCATGATCCTGAGCTTTTGATAGCTCATATGGCCAAGATGAGCATGCCATAGATCAGTCATATTATTCTTTCAAACTTTATCTGTGTATGCTGATTCCACGGATATTACATACATAGATTCAACTCTTTCGCCCACCATGGCAAGTTCTCCTAGTGGCTTCAAGTTTTGGTAAACTTCTACATCTTGTGGTCTAAATACTATATAATTTATCGAAGCTGTTAATTTAGAAATGAATAGATGGTTCTTTTTCATACCTGGTACATAATATACATCTTGTAGTTGTGTTCGGTTTGGATTGTATCACGGTGTAAACTATTGCTTCTCCTAATTCCTCCAACACTTTTATTAATTCAAATTTTTATCAATCCATCTCCATAAATTATGTATGTATATATATATACACACACACACATATATATAGTTTATACTTCTATTGCTTCTCCTAATTCCTCCAACACTTTTATTAATTCAAATTTTTATCAATCCATCTCCATAAATTAATGGTCTCCATTAATTATTATTTATTATAGTTATTTTGATAAATGAGTATGAAACCTTTAGATTGAAGGCTTCAGCCACTGCATTCCCAAATTAAATAGGACTATTTACATAAGCGACCACACCGACCACACTTCCAGCCCCAGAATGTGGTCTATCAGATGAATAGATGCCCAGAATAACAAAACACCAATCCAGCACAACCACAACAAGATCAAGTTCATTTGTGAGAACAGCAAAACAAAAAACATATATGAACCCGTCCTAACTGATGATCCAATTTAAAATCTTGCATTATAGTAATTTACACAAATCCACCTGCACAATATATGTATTCAAAAAAATAATAGATCAAGCACGTAAACTTAATGACAATAAAATATTTATTTGAGATAAGTTTACACACACAATAGTATACATCCACCTCCTTATTTACTCACCCAAACACCAATCATATGGTTAACCACCACGGTACGTGGAAGGAGGAATGCCAGCTTATTATTATTACATGAGAACATATACTCACACTCACATAGTTGGATAAACTGCCCACTCGGTAATGCCACACATCCCGGAAGGCGATGGAACATCCTTCTCCATTCTAATATACCCATTTTCACCCCACTTAGAACTCCACGAATTCTTCACTATCCAATACTTATCCTTACTAGATTCTCCATAACCTATAACGGTAACGGCGTGATTAACAGCGGTTCCACAGGATCCATGAAAGATGCCCCCCCTGTAAAGTTGGAGATCCTTTGAAGCCTCCAGCCAGTGTCTGCTTCAAGGACTTCAGCTCATCAGATAAAGCAGCATGTGCTTGCTGATTCTGCATCTTGGCGTCTTCCTTCTCACGGAGTTCTCGCCGGAGCTGATCTATCTGAGAATCAAGCTCCTCAAGTGAAGATGATCTAGACCGCGGCCATAAGCGCTTGCTCGTTGCGGGCAACGGTTTTGTAACCGTTAATAGTTGCTACAGTTTTCTTCTCTTTAGTAAAATCACACTTGCCTTCAACATCTTTGTACGGGTAAGTAGCTTCGGTCGTCAACCCTCTGTTTCTTACGACATAACGATAAGCACCATGGACCGTACCAGGCTTGCAACCATTGTTTCCTTTGTCACAGTCAATAATTTGTTGTGTTGATAAAGTGTAGAGCACACCTGTTTTGATTTTCCCCAGGCTTTCAATTGTCGATGCCGCCGTCATAGCCCAACAACAATCTGTAGTTTCGACGAAATCTTTACATTAGGGGCGGTGCTGCATAGTGTCCAGTGGTGGCACAGGACAACACTGGGTTTTATACTTTTTGGAGATTTTTATTTAGTTTTACTTGTATTTAATGTTTAATTAGGACATCACTGACATTAGATTAGGACATCGATCACTAAGGAGAATAAATGTAAATTATCAATATAGATCACAAATACAAACATGATAAGTTATATGACACCAATATATAAGAAGAAATTTCGGCTCTGCCACTGTGCTAGGGTTTAAAGTAAATGAATACTAAAAACATGTACTGAGAAACAATACTATTATATGCATAGAAATAACCCTTTTCTGTTGGTCAAAAAATGGGTTTCTCTCAAATCATATGTGTTTGTAAAATTACCTCCCAGTTCATAGTAATTGGTATTTTATCCCGTCGAATTGTAATACCCTCAATTTTACGCCCAATATCCTAACTTAAGGAGAACAAAACTTGGATTTTATGTTAAAGTACTATATTGATTAGGAATAACTAAATCAAATTTAGTTAAGTTAATTAAACATGGAAAATTTTTAATTTTGATTTTAATTTTGTTACATTAATACCAATACAACTTTCTGTCTTCTATACATACATTCATTTTCAGCCGTTCAAATCGTATATTAATAAAATTCTAGGAATGTTAATTAAATTACATTTTTTTTTTATGTTTGGATAAAGGTAAATTGGTTCTTACTTAACAAAAATATTATTTTAAAAGTCTTCTCCTCCTATACCATTCATAAACTGTTATGACGTACGGGATAAAATTGAAGGTTCGTACTTTATAGTTTGAATGCTAAAATAGAAATTACTTTGATTTCTTGGTAATTATTTTTGAAACTTCCTACAATACGGATTATATTTAGTAGAATATTGTAAAATTGGAAAGACCAAAGAAGGACGATAACACAAAATGAAGTTTTCTTACTGCAAAGCATTTGAAACTTGACGGGTGCTACTGCGCCGACATCCCTCCAATCGAAACTAGCCGGAATTGAAGAAATATTTGTTTGTTCCACAGTCGTCTCATACTTAACGGACCTAAGTGACTCCTCAATCTCGGGTTCTGGCTTCTTGAATCCGCTAGCGTATGTAGCTAAGAACTCTTCAGAAGTAAGATCAGCAAATAGGTTGACACCTAAAGTGTACCTGTGCTTTCCGGCATTGTTGAAATCTTCTATATACTCTACATTCTCCTTGAATATCTCAAATCGCCGTGCCTTTTCCGCTTCATCCTTATACACTCGTCCATGCTCCGCCATCCATAGCTCATGTTTTCTTGCGATTTCAGAATCAAGAGCATTGGTGTAACCATTTGCGTCGCCTATCCGTGAAATAATAATAAGAAAACAAGTAAAAAGTGCATAATAGCATGCTGAAGCCATTCTTTAGGAATAGACTCAAGCTTGAAAGTTTTCCTGTAGAGATTTGCTGATGAGAGTGTTGCGTTTATATAGGCGAAGCTCACGAACTATATGCTATAATAGAAAGCTAGCATAATTGTTTCATAATTGTATACAACCAAGCATAAATTATTTGAGCCCAACATGCATGACTAGAGACATTTAGTCCTTTATCAAAAAATAGGCGAAACAGATCATTTGTAAATTTAGCCTCCTTGGATACTCCGTGTAAATAATTATAGGCATATGACGGTAAGCATCGGATCCTGAAGGAATGATCCAATGTGATCTCATGATAGATTGGACAGATGGAAATAATCACCCAAGTCGCTTTGTATCTGACATTAATATGAGTTTGTTGCATTTTCAATTTCATTATTTAGATTTAGATACTGTTTTTATTTTTTAGACAGAGAATATATAGTATGGTGTGCTCCCACAAGAATTTTTTCCGTTTTGAGTGAGCAAGAAAATCAATAGCTTCTGTGCAAACGTACGCAATCAGGCAAAGGCTTAAATCTTACATTTGTGCCATTACATACTTTTGATACAACTTCTTTTTAACTCTGAGGAACATAGTGATCGGGGATTCCATTTGGTAACATTGCTTAATTGGCAATGTTTGAATGTTTGTTTCAGGACTATGGAAATGTATGTATTGAAAATTATGTAAAATTGGCTTGTCAAGAGGATTTTTTTTTAATCTATTGAAACCAGGTTCGTCTTAATTAAGCTCAAAGTCATGAGGAAAGAAATTCTACAATAGACGTAGAACCATGGTTTTTGTCTCGCCCAAGTTCCAAAACATAAATATTTGG